CATTTGCCTCCAGGAGAGAATTCCCCAAGCTGGAACCAGAGGACAAGAACTTGAAAGAAGAACCTGTGTCCTCAGTCCCTCTCCTTGAGGACCATGACTTTCATGTGAAATCTCATATGCCCAATACAATAGCTAGTTAATGGCATGGTCACCTGTTGAGCTGTGCTCCCTTGGGGATTCCCTGAAGATGGCCAAAGAATGTAGCCCCACCAAGAATCTCATGGAAGTATACTGGTTCCACACATTACAAGACTTTGACAACTAGGGAGCACTGTTCCCTGCTATCAGGAAGTCAAAATCCAACCCTTATAAAATGCCTCCCTTGGACACCTGGGGTTGAGATTTGGAAAGAGGTCTAGAGGCAGGGCACCCTAATACCCACATCTCTATGAGGATCCCATGTTTTCCACAATCAGACACAATGTTGTTTACTTAAGAGTCTTTCTAAGAAAACATTCCTGGTAAGAACCCCCTAGAGTCTAGACAGAGGCTGATATCCTTGGCTGAGTTACACACCAGGCATCCACTTGTGTTCAAGGTAAAGTCAAATGAAGGATTCTGATATATTGCCATTATTCTATACCATATGGGTCCTGCACTAAATATTCAAAACCCAACATGGGAGCACAATGAATAGGGAAGGTAGACACAGACCACACACCTGTGTGTATCCAGTGAAATGAACCTCACACAGCTCAGAGATTTCACAAGTCACTTACGTATTACGTCGAGGTACTTGACTGACGTTGATACAATTTTCCCGTGTCTATTACGGGTGCGTAGAGTATAAAATCCTGTGTCCTTCGTGTTCACCTTTTCAATCAGCAGAGATCCATTGCGATATATTGTCTCTCTACCTCTGTGTGCCGGCCCTGGCTTATTTAAATTATTGCGCAGTGTATATACTGCAATTTCTTTTGTCTCATTTCTTATCTCTTTGTACCAGGTTATAGATTTAATTTTCGCCGGCAGACTACGTACAGGGAGAAGAACATTGTCTCCTTCAGCCACTAGAGCTGGCACTGAATCGCTGGGAAACTGTTCGGTGGTGGGCAGGTGCCATAAGGATAAAAGGGAGGCTAGAAGAGAATGGAGGGGAAAAATACCAGAATTACATGGGAGGGAAAAGCACTCAGGTTCAGTGTGTGAGTGGGGGTGTGCCCACCCCCCTTTGCAGACCTGAGCAACATGACTTCCATTGATTCAGAGCATCTGAGTGTATCAGTAACTCTCTTCAGAATTCTCTGTTCAGGTGTCTGCCTGGTTCCCCAACCCCCTCAGTGTCCCACCCTCAAGCGGAGTATGTGGTAAGGGGAGCAATGCCTCTCTGAACTCCTCCTCAGGAGAGACCTCCTCAATCCTTAATTTTTTCCTCTGTTTCTTTTCTGATTCTGGTCAACCCATGGTGTCATCATTCAGATATACTGACACCAGGCCCACTAGAACCAGGGCTGTTTGTTTCTTTGGCTTTTGTTTTTGTTTTGAGACAGGGTGTCTCTGTGCAGCCTTAGATGTCCTAAAACTTGCTCTGTTGCCCAGGCTGGCCTTGAACTCACAGAGATCACATCCCTCTGCTTCCCAAGTACTAGGATTAAAGGCTTGAGCCACCAACACTAGGCAGAACCAGGAATGTATAAGAGCAGGATTATTCTGACCTTTTGGAGGGTTCATTTCGTGAAAAATATTGGGAAAAAGGAATGGATGAACGATGAATGTGCCTCCATAGATTTCTTTTTATATTATCTAAGTCTGGAGCTTATGACAATAACTATATTCCAGGGTGAAATAAATGACTTTAGATTTACTTATGTGAATAAACATGTTTACAAAAGAAGTCTGGTGTCTCCTTGTGTATATATGAAGATATATGCTATCAATCTGTGTGGGGGGCACACATGTCAGGGTGTGAATACGTGGGCACATGCAATAATACCTATGTGGAGGCAAAGTAGAGCCTGCAAGAGCCTGCTCTCTCCATCCACTGTGTGGGAGCTGAGGATTGGTTTCAGGTTGTCACACATTCACACCTTGAGACCTCCCTCCAGCCCTACCCTGTTGGATTTCTATTTGAAGGGTCATGCCGTCATGGTTGAAAGCATCTGTCTTCCTAACACTACAGCCAATGTAATTCACAACAAACACAGAGCGTTTGAGGCTTTCCTCTTACCATCATCACCTCCTGTCATTTGGGAAGTCCAGGCAGCTAAGCCCCTGTCCCTCACTCTACTTTCTGAACCAAAACTACAAACCAAAACCTTTAGCATCCTCTCAAGTTTCTGTCTTCTTCAGGAATCTCCAACATGATTCTAGGTATGCCTCCTCATACAGTCAGAGAGTAGATAACCTTACCTGTGAGCAGAAGCCACTGCCAGGGGGTACACCTCTTGTAAAGAAGCACAGAGGACTCCTCCATCAGTCTTCTCACTTGCTGTCCTACCTCTGAGTTGAAGAGGCTCAGCTCCAACACAGAACTCAGGCTCCAGTGTTCTTCTTCCTTCTGGGTTGAGATTTTTCTCAGTCAGGAGCACTTCCCAGAATCGAATGACCAGCGAGTGGTTGGGGTTGAGTCCAAGGCACTGCTCAATCCCTTCCACTCTCAGTGCTGACCCACATTCCTCTCAACTTCCATTTATGTTGCTCCTCCAAGCAACTCATTAAGGAAGAAGGCTGATAAGCATCGTCATGCCCTCAGAGAACAATTATCTATCCCAGGGTTGACACCTGCTGTATCCTTGCCTTGGGTCTTTCAGCACAAAAGAGGGAGCCTCCATCATGATTATGTGTCCTTGTGACACAGGAGCCCAGCTGAGCATCCAGTCTACATATGATCTCAATGTTATGGGAATCTGGTATACAGTAATGTCTCTGTGGGCTCTGCATAGACTAGCTGAGTGATGACTAGGGATGAAGATCAGTCCTTTATCACTAATGTCACCATCAAGTAATGATCCAGGGGGAAAGGACCAGCACCAGTTGTGTGAGGAGTTTCATGGCATCATGCTGGGAAAGAGGTGATCTGTGTATCCTCAAAAAGGACTGTGTGTTCCTTCTTTCCATGGAATATTTCAAGGCAACATTCTAGCAATATGTGCTGGGTGTGCAAACATCCTCTCTGATCTTCCTGGTTCATCTTTGCCATTTACCAGAATATTCCCTGTTGGTTATCTTACATTCCCCTTTGACAGATACAAGGAGCAAGAGACCTTCATGTTCCCCAAGCAGAGAGGTGTTCTCAGACAAAGGAAAGAGCCATAAATAGGTCAGAGCAGGGTCTATGGAGGGAGCTTAAGGTTAGTAGGAACAAAAAGGAAAAGCAGTCTGTTCAGGGAAACAATTTTCGGAGTATTGAGCATGTGCCCTGCTTTGGACCCCTGGTGACCACCGGAAGAACTTCAATCTCATATCTGGGCCAAGATTCACTGGCCGGCCTAGGTATCTGTGCTGTGGGTCTGCATCAATACCCAAGAGTGGCTGAGTTGCCCAGGAATGGGTCTTTTAAGTAAACAGTTACAGCAATGAGGAGACAGAAATTGCTCACAATTGACATGCAAGTTGAGTGGGTCACTTTGGGGGGCAGTCACTCATTTCCAGATTGCACACTCACAGGGTTCTATGCCAGCTGTGATACTGATGCACTTGCCCTCTGATAATTCCAGGTTGTTACCTTCTGAGTGAGGCTTTATCCATTTCTATTCCACAGGTAGATTGTATTCTGAAACTCACGCACATGCTTTAAGGGTGTTATCCTCAACCTCCATGGGGTTAGCATCATCACTTGTGATGATGGCCTTGAGTAGCAGTGTTGTGCAAACAACAGAGAGAAGATGGTCTGCCATGAGACTTTCTACCCTTGAAAAGACCTCTTCCAACCACTGTGAGCCTTTCTAGCATCCATCCCAACTCTGTGTCCTTACAGATCCAGACAGAAGATAAACCACATGCAGATGCAGGAGGACATGAGTAATCAGAGTTGGAGGTTCTCTTGTGTTCTGCGGGAGAAACAGACTTAGCCCAAGATCAGATACTACCTAGGACCTGGGGTAGCATGACCATTGTCTTTTCTGGACCTCACTGACCCACTGCTGCCTTGCACCAAAGAATGCTGTGTCCTTCTAGCTGTACAGATGCCCACTGCTGAGCCCACTCTAGTCCCTTCCAAGGCAATGATGTTCAATACAATATTATAGAAAGGGCAGAATAATGCTTCTCATTGAGCTTCAATGAGAAGTACTCACAGACTGTCCTCAGGACTTGTGTATTCAGAAATCACAAACATGAGAGAAAGAGTGCACCTTCATTCAGCTAAATGAGCCAGCTGAATGATGGTAGATGTTCTTCATTATACTGGGAATACTTGTTTCTCTTATTGGTTGATGAATAAAACACTGATTGTGCAGGAGCAAGGCAGGAAGTATAGGAAGGGCAGCAAGACTAGGAGAAGAGGAATGCAGACAAGAGTCACCAGAGAGACCCCGAGTAGCTGCTAAAGGAATAACATGCCACAGCATTATGGGTAAGCCACAGCCTCATGGCAATAACTGGTTTAATAGAAATGTGTTAATAATTGAGAGTGAGGCAGCCAATAAGAAGCCTGATCCATTGGCCAAACAGTTTATAATTAATATAAGCCCCCTTGTGTCTTATTTGGGATCTGGTAGAAAAGAAACATCCATCTACAGATGGACCATAACATGGGCCAGTCTTCACAGGTATTTGCTGGTAACTGAGATGATCAACATGTCTCCAAAAGACAAATGAGTCTCAGAATGATCTAGGAATGGGAAGAAAGAGGAATACAGTTGAGCTTGGATGAAAACCATTGTCTTTACCTGTAATGTTCTACCTTGCACACATAAGAACCATAAAGAGACATATCCTGAAATATGCATTGCTGTTTTGTTGGTGTGTTTCTTTCTTTCTCCAATCCATCATCCTTTCATTCATTCATTCATTCATCCATACATTTTATGTGCATGGTTATTTTTACTGAAAGTGTATCTGTGAAGCACAAGTATGTCTGATGCCCACAGAAGCCTAAACGAGCTTATGAACTGCCACGGGTGTCCTTGGAACAATACTTCAGTCCCCTAAAGAGGAATTATTGCTGTTAACCCCTGAGCCATCTCCTCGCCACTCCCTGATGGATGCTTTCTGAGTCAAATATTACTGATAGAAGGTAGAGGTGTGTTTGGTAGAACTAGGCTCTTGATTTTGGACTATAACATGTTACATATGAGACCATTGTTCCTAACAATCCAGATATAAGACTGATGCCTGAAAGGGTTATTTGTCTAAGGAGTACAATGAGGTATGATGAAAGACCAATGCTCAAGTTTTGTGAAATAGTCTCTTTCTGGACAGAGAGAGTTCTCTGTTAGATGTAGGATCCTTTGCTTTTCAGGAGTTGTGGCAGCAACATTCCAGAAAACACATGGTTTCCTGTCCAGCCACTGGGATGCAGTGTCCTGGAATTTTGTACAAATTCTCCTGAGACAGATAGTTTAGTTCTAAACTCAACTCTAATTGTCCAATTTTTTTCACGTGGTGCAACAGACATCCCTTCAAGTTGCTAAGATTAACCTCTCTAAAAACATAGTCTCTCTCTCCAGATACCACAGAAGGCCTCCAGGGTGAAGACAGTGTAGACATGGTTGTACACAGACGACTTGTCTGTCACACAAGGCTGTGTGAGGCAGATGCATTCACTAGGGTTACTGTGTCTCGCAATGATAGCATACATGGTGAACGAATGTTGCCGTGGGAATAAGATAGACTCAAATATGAACAAGGCCCTGACACTAGGACAGGACAGCTGTATGGATCAGCACCATCTGTTACTACTTGCCTACAGGAGAAAATTTGATAGACTTAATCCCTGAGGCATGCAGTCATCAAGAAGATCAACGCCCTCTGTTTCTCCCCTGGGGGACACTGCCTGTTCTGTTTGAATCTCGTAAGCCCATGAGAACCATTGTTTAATGGCCTGGTCAACAATGCATCATGGGTGTTTGTACTGAGACTCAGAAGGAGATGTCCAGTTGACTATTGGGAACCAAGGGATTGTGTGGAATCCCCTGGA